AGCTCCATGATTTCCTGTGTTATATTTTCAAAATGAAGAGCTTTGATTAAGGAAAAGGTCTGAAAATGCCACGCAGTTTATGACTCCTTCCCTGGGCGTTATAATGACATGGCATTACAAGAAAATAAAGAGGCTTCATTCATTCTGTGTGTGATGGAGGAGAGGATTTGTTTTTGCTTTACCCAAACAACAATAAACTGTTCTGTGAAGTGTGTGCTTATTCATTCATTCATTTAGGATATAATCAGACAATTGCACCCCACTGATAGTATCCACTTTCTGAAGTAACATTTCTATTTGTGATCTAATTATTAGTCTATTTCTCAATCCCCAGCTGTAAAGCAGATATTAATTACTTGTGAAACAAATTTGCATGAGTATATTAAAGTGTACCAAAAATGCAGAAGGCTGTATAACAATAGACTATCCTTAAAAGTGGGTGTATATATAACGACCATCTATTTTATCTTTAAAGAGGTAGGAGTCACATAGTACTCTTGGGCGAACAGAGAAAAGACAAAGACAGTCAGCGGCTTCTCAAAAATGCAATGTATCATTGCAAACAGGGAATGGAATATATCCAAGGATGCCTTCACAATCAGAACTGCACCGGGCCGTGTTGTTCGATAGTAGGAAAAGGTTTCAGCAATAAATTACTTTTCGGTTTGAGGCTCTGAAATAGATACATTTCGCCATCACTTAGGGATGTGTGGGATAACTTGGTTTGGAAACACCTTAAGGGAACAGTAAGACATTTTGGGAATTACACTTTTTCGTTTTCATGTTGAGACTGATGCCATTGTCAAGTTTGTAGGGTAAATCTGAAATGTAGAAAGCAGCTGTTAGCTTCGCTTAGCACAAAGATTGGAAACAGGAAATCAGCTGCCTAAAGGTTAAACAAATCTTCCTGCCAAAACCTTAAATGTCACTACTGATTATGTATTACCACTTTCAAAATCGGTAATATGCCAAAGTGTCATCTTCCCACTTTGTTCTAGTAAGATAAATACAATAATAAGTCATCTTTAGGGGTGCTAGAAAGTGAACTTTGTTACGTTTGGACAGAGCCAGGCTTGCCGCTTTCCTCTGTTAATGTTTTTGTTGCTAAGCTAAGGTGGTTTATGGTGGCTGTGGCTTCACATGTAGGCTTATCTCACCTCACTCTCTGCACATTTCCCCTTTTTCTTCAGACGGTATAATGTTATTTGTGATAAATGATAAAAGTTGAGGGATGGAAGTGTGGCAAATAATGGTAAACTAGTTCAAACTCACCTAGCCTGCAGTACTTTAGTAACTATACTTAAATTCCACCACTGTGTAACTGTGAACTTTAACATCACCTACACAACTCACCCCAAGCTGGAAATTGAGAACTTCCAGGAATCAGTTTTAATGCTTGTTGATTCCCTGTCTGCTGTTTTAGAGGACATTTTTGATTTTGGGTCATTTCCTCAGCCTAAAAATGATTTCTCTCTCCATGGCCAATTTTGGACAGTAAGATAATGGTAATTTCAGCGAATAGGGCCATTTTAAAGTGTTCCATTCAGCAGAGCCAGGATGCTTTTGGCAGTTGCATCATCTCCCTTGTTGCCAATGTATGAGGTTAGGGAGGAGAGTGGTTGTCGAGGTTGTTTTGCTTTATTTATAATGGGGTTTTCTTAAAGGAGTCCCAGGGTGAAATGGTGGCTGGAAAACCAGGATTCGGTGATAGGAAGCAGCATAAATGTTCTGTGGATGCTGTTCAGTACTTGTAGGTAATTGCAAAGATGTTGACATGATAAACATGTGTTATAGCAAAGGTCAGAAATAATAGAAGCTTCTTTTATGTATCATTTTGTATAATTTCATAATAAGGAAAATGGGGTTGGCTATAGCTTTGCATAGCTTGAGTGGTTAGTGTGTGTGTTTCTGGTGTGTAAGTGGAGAATTCCTAAGAGGGTCCAACAGGGCTAAATGGTTGCACACAGTAAATTGGGTCACTGCTGAATTAAACACCAGTGCCTCTGCTTTCAGTGGTGCTTCACTGCTGCACCACAGAAGTGCAGGTTAGAAATAGTCATGGCTTTAGAGTCCAAATAAACAGTCAAGCTTGGTTGGACAGAGAAAGTGGGACAGGTGCTGTGAGCAGAAGAAGTGGCTTTTCAGAAGTCCTCATCAAACAAGCATGCCTTCTGTCGAGGAAAGGTTATGCCAAGCGTTGTTTCTTACCCGGCTTCTTTGTTTGCATCATGGCACAACATCGGAGAGTCAGCTTCCGCTTTGGGTTTCTATAACAAGAACCAGAAAAAAGAAGGGATGACATTGTGAGACAAATAGGCAGACAAATAGGGAGGAGATGAAAGCTAAAAAAGTATGGCTGGCAGTGATTTGGGAGTTCCTGAAAGTTTTTTGACTGTGTGTTGAAAAGCATCTGAAGCCTTTTCTCCTAAGTGGTCAAACTTGAGGTAAAATAAAGAAATGAGACAAGAAAATAGCAGTAAAGGAAAGAAAGATGTCATTGAAAGGATTTCTTGTTGGTAATCCGTTAACACACATGCTTGCCTTATCCTGTCATTGAGAAAAAAGCAAAAGGGAATTGATTAGGCGGACTTAAGAGCAGCACATTTGAACTCAACCCTTTGTAAAGCTGTTGTCATCCTGTCCCTGTGTTTTACTGTGGTCCCAGAGCTCAACCTTCTGCATCCAGTCAGCCACACTCAAGGACAAAAACACTTTGAGGGCAAGGGAATTAATATTTGATATCTAGCTCTGCATCATGTGGTGAGACAGACAGTCAGGCATACTAGCAAGCAGATGCAGGATGCGTAAAAGCCACGAGTAGCCACTCCCAACTGCAGCGCCACCACTATACCACAGAAAACTCATATTGCGTTGGTTGGTTTTTGCTAGATTGGTAAAAAATAAGTGCTCAGCAGTATTGGTTGGGTCTATGCAGAATAAAAACCAATGATTAATTGAGTCACACCTTATGTGCGGTCATCCCAAGGTCCTACTGTATGGTCCAACAGCACTGTGGAAGTAGTTTCAGTTGAATGGGAGACAAAACTTCACCCAATAGAATGGTGTTTGTGTCCGTTTTTTCTCATTTCTAATGCAAAGTTTCACAACCCAAACCCAACATCTTCTCCTAAAACTTACCAAGTAGTTAGGTTGCCTGAACTTTGAAAAGAGTGCAGCTTTAAAAATAGTGTGGATTAGTTTTTTGTTCAAAATGTTACTTTTTATTTCGCTTTTTCAATGTGCTAGAACGGGTTGTTTTTAAGTTTAAGATTTTTAATTGTACAGCATTGTAGGTTCAGATTCTAAGGCTATTCGGATTCAGAGGCTGACTTCGAAAATGGGTGGACACATGCTGAGCGAAAAAAGTCAATTTCGGAGGAAGCTTGGTGGATGAGTGGCTCAAAAGGCATCAAGGCTTTACCACTAAACCCAGGAGACTATAAAAGGGCCTATAATGGCTTCAAATTAGACAAGATGCATATGCCTCACTAAAGACTTTAAAAAGTTTCTGACCTTCTTAACACCCTCTGAAAATCTTGTTCTGGCTAACATGTGTACTTGATGTAGAAGTACTCAAAAAGACTTGACGTGACGTTGACAAAATCCAACAGAGAACTGTGAACCAGAGATGGCAGGAATCAATACATCAGGAGGGGATATTATGTGAACAATAGCGTCAAAAGAAGATAGTGTTTTTAGTTCAGCAGCTTGCATAGGACTGTGTCAAAATACTGTAGGGTGGTAGTACTCAAGTCAACGTAAAAGTCGCAGGAATTATAACATGAGCTTGTTGGTTATCGATGTTTCCCAAAAGCCTTTGAAACATAATCGGCATTGTGGGCTTCCCAAAGTGAAGAGACAGTCAGACAGCAGGGATGCAGCTAAAGGTTCGCAGCAGACTAAAGCGCATGGCGGATTGATTTCACAGCAGCTGAGAAAGCACTGAAGACTATGAGACACACTGAGCATGTGTGTGTGTTTGTGATGGTGGAAACATGCCACAGCAAAAAACGAATAAAAAATGGGGTAACTACAGAGAAACATGATTCATTTAAAATACAAACTGTGTATTAGATAACATAGACTTTGTTAACTTATCATCATGTCCTGTGGTTAGCTTCTTTGGAGGGGATGACTGTAATTTATTCGAAGAAACCATGGTAAAAACAGGGTAAAGACTCATTTCTCAAGGCTTCAATGTGACTTATTCAATAGGCTGCATGGTTTAAAGGTCTGAAAAAATGATCTGTTACATGAAGCAAGGTGAAAGTTGGATGTATTTCCTTACAGTTGTGACTTATTCAGTAAAGGTTTGAGTAAAATGGTATATGGACTAATGCAGAAATAAACGCAGTTACATTTGATATTAGACAAAGGCATGGGTCACTGTCGATGGCTGTGTCTATGGTCTCCAAACCCCCTTTAGAGGAAACCACACCACTTACGCATCGAAGTTAAGGTGGGGACAGTTAAGACACGGGGGTTACCCCCACCAGCCTGCTCATTTTTCTGCTCATTGTTCTGCTCATTGTCTGTAACCGGTCTTGGTAGCTAGCTAATTAGCTGCTAGCTCATAACTTCAGGCTTTAGCCACACACTAGTGTCGCAGCCAGATAAATTACAACTTTGTTCTGCTAAAAACATTTTAAACCAGTCGCATGAGATCTTGGAGGAATTAATTAAGGATTTGTTGGGCTTTCGTCATGAAGACATTGTTTATTTATAGTAGATAGGAAAAACAAATGTTATCAACTCTGGGTATTCCAATCCAGCTATGACTGAGTCCAATCTGAAATAGTTTTTAATTACTAGCGGAATAGTCACAACAATAAATGATGTTTCTAGTTGCTTGAACTGTCAGTTTCCCTATAATATTATGGTTTAATATTACATTTTTTGGGATGAAGAATTGTCAAGATCTTCAATGGAACGTGGGTCTCATTAGGAGGATGCTACCTACTACAAATCATTCAACATGTATGTGTTTGTGTCTCCTGCAGATGATGGAAAACTTTCTCTGGATGAGTTTCAAGCTTTCTTCTCCGATGGCACGCTGAACGAGGAAGAGCTGGAGAAGTTGTTTCACAGCATTGACTCTGATAACACCAGGTCAGCACTGTGTGCGTGTGTGCGTCTGTCTGCCTGTCTGTCTGTCTGTCTGCCTGTCTGTCTACCTGTCTGTCTGTCTGTCTGTCTGTCTGCCTGTCTGTCTGTCTGTCTGTCTGTCTGTCTGTCTGTCTGTCTGCCTGCCTGCCTGTCTGTCTGTCTGTCCGTCTGTCTGCCCGCCTGTCTGTCTGTCTGTCTGCCTGTCTGTATGTCTGTCTGTCTGTCTGCCTGTCTGTCTGTCTGTCTGTCTGCCTGCCTGCCTGTCTGTCTGTCTGTCTGTCTGTCTGTCTGTCTGTCTGCCTGTCTGTCTGTGGGCGTGCAACATGGCTGTGAAGCAGCATTAAATAAACCTGCATACAGTATTTGTTCATGTGTGTATATATGTGTGTTCACTCCACCGTGCCTTTTGTTGGTGATCACGTATCTCTATCAATAATGAAAAAGAGAGGAGATGCACGCAACTGCTTTCCTGCTGCACTGCAGTATCCTTATTTTTCAATTTTGTGTGTGAGCAGCACGCTTATGTAAAATATGTGTCATTTATCTTGCAGCCAGAAAATCTCACTCTTTTTATGGAGATCATCTTGTACCAAATACCTCTTGTTAAGGGACACTTTGGATATAAAGATGACAACATAAAGACAGAGATTAACAATAAGAGGAAGTATTAAAAGAAGAGTGAACAGTGGGAAAAGTCAGAGTTATCTGTTTTAACATCTTTCACATTTTCATCCTCTTTCTAAACCATTTGCATTAGTCATCCTGAATCTACAGGACATAAGCCTCTCTAAAGTACGTCTACGGTTTTGATTGGCTCTCATTGAGACACTTTATTGACATTTAATAATCAGCCAATCGGCTCATCCAGCCTGCAATCAGGATAAGTGTGCTGACACAGTGGGATCTCGGCAATCAGAAAACTGGCTCAGTTAATTTACAAAACCTTGGAAACAGGAAACCAAGCAGAACAAAAGCTGACCTTTATAGAATCGAATTAGGCACAACGTATAAATCCTCCAGCAGGCTACGGCAGGTTATTTTTAAATCAGTGCAGCAATTGGACCATGCAACCGCCAACATCTCTCCGACGTCAGCCATCTTTGGGATGGTTGCGCTTTATAAATCTTATTCACTGCAGTGCATGCATTTAGAAAAGTTTCTACTCATTACAGTTAAGTGGACTTGGCAGCACCATGCCAGGGCTCAGCACTATCATGTGGCAGCAGATAAGGTTATTGATTGGTTTAAGTAAAAGAAGAAATGGCAGTGTAAGGGTTTCCTGTTGGAGCAGGAAGTTGATGGATGGAGAAGAGGGATGGAGCAGGCAGAGAATGAGCGCTGTCCTGCCTCCAGTCATTTGTCTTCTCTGTGTCTGTCACTCTTTTTGTTCTTTTTCTTTCTTTTCCTATCACACTGCCCAGCTCTTCCTGTTTCCCTGCACCATCCTTCTCGATCAATCTTAACGCTTTCTCTTGGGTCTCCCTTTCAGGCTTCCAATCCTCCCATAGCATCTATTTTACTTCCTTTTCTTTTCCTTAGGAGGCAAAGTCTAACCCATTTTCTACCCAGCATTGATTCTGTACATTAAATAGCTTCTTATCCCATAGGTTTTACATCAAAATGTTTCAAAAACCTCATGTAACCTTTGATAGAGTTAAAAAATAGAAACTGTTATCATTAAAGAGGAACTTGAGGGATTTAGTAAAGCAATTCCCATGTAGTTGATGGAATTAGACACATTTAAACAAGAATCTTCTTGATGATCTGGCATATATAACCAGTAGCAAAAGTAAGATGTAGCGTTAACAGCACGTTAGCGACACGTTAGCAGCACGTTAGCAGCATGTTAGCAGCTAATAGCAGCACGTTAGCAGCACGTTAGCAGCATGTTAGCAGCAAATAGCAGCACGTTAGCAGCAGCTTCTTTGCTCTGTCTATGTACAGGCACAGTAATAAGCGTACGTCATAAGCATAGAGTAGGCTAGTACTCCTTATCAAAAGTAAACTGAACAAATAAAAGCCTTTTTAATATGAAAAAAGCAACAAACATATAAACAATTACTTTTAGGCATAATAAATACTGTTTATGACCCAAAAATGGCCTGTATTACTTGCAACAGCATAATCAGTGGTTTACTTGCAGTGTTGTTTTTCTGCATCTGGATCTACCATTTGGATGATTTGGAAAATGTGGCATTCTTATTTTACTATCTAAATGTTGGCACAGTAACAACCCTGACAAGCCTCCCAGAATGCAGAATTTTGCGTATACCTTATGTAATAATTAGTAAACGAAAATAAATGTAATGTTGGGTAAAACTACACATTTTGTGGATATATTTAAAGCCCATCCGTCACAGTGCAGGCTAAGGATTTATTCTGTAGAATTGGAAAATAAGATGTCTCACAAGTCTGATTCAATCCAAATAGAGCTCTTCTATGGCCTTTTTCCGATATGAAAAATATCAATTAAGAATGTATTTTGAAACCCCAGTTAATGTGTTGTTTTTTTTAACATTCCCTTTAATTATAACATTTACAAAACACGTATTTATAATTGAGATGAACAGATGAAGTCTTTCTGTCTGCTCCTCCTCTTTCCCAAGTCTCCCAGTTACACCTCACAGCACTCTTTTGGCTGGTTTCTCTCTCTACTCTTACTTCTTCTTTTTCTTTCCCTCCATCCCATCCTCTTCTCCTCTTCTCTGTTTCTCCTGGTAAGTCAACCTGGGGAAGTTTGCCTTACACCGGTGAATAATTCCCTGCCAAATGAGTCCCCTCTCAGTGAGCAGAGCATGAATGATGGCAGCGGATTGTTTCAGACTCCTGTCATGGAGTCTTGTTAGTTTGCTCCATTGCTGCCAGATTCAAGCTCTGTGTCTGAGTGTGTATTGAGAAAGATAGTTATTTAGACTGCATGCAAAAGGCCTTTCCTCTGTTTCTGACCCTGCTCTTCTCCTTCCTTTCCTTCCTTTCCTTCCTTCCTACTTTTCCTTCCTTCGCTCCCTCTGCTGCTCCTCTGCTATGCTGTGATAGTAATGTTGACACTAAGGAACTCTGTGGTAAGTGGACTGCCGACACACACACACACACACACACACACACACACACACACACACACACACACACACACACACAAACACACACCCCATACAGACACACACACACACACACACACTTCCCTGCCGCTGGCCTCATTCTCTCTGTTATCTATTGTTAAAAAGTATTCCAGCTCTGCTGTAATGCAATTATTTTCATTAAAATATATGGTATTAATTCAGCCACTTTCAGTTAACCAGTGTGAAATAATGTTGGGACTAAAAATGTTGTATAAATCTTGTGCCAATTTGCTTGTGTGTGAATGTGTGTGTGTACAGACTACTTTGCCAAGCACATGGGCGACTATGAGGGGGTGCTGGCCTCGCTGGAAACACTCAACCTCTCCATCCTCAAAGCCATGGACTTCACTAAAAAGGTAAGAGTTAGTGTGTGTGTGTGTGTGTGTGTGTGTGTGTGTGTGTGTGTGTGTGTGTGTGTGTGTGTGTGTGTGTGTGTGTGTGTGTGTGTGTGTGTGTGTGTGCATTGCAGCATGACAGCTAGTGAAAGCTTGTATTTTACACTTGCCCTTCGATATCTTTTTACTTCCACTGCAGTCCAAACATCTGCTGAAGACATAAGTAGTTTTTACATGTCAAGATTGAGTCATACTAATTGGATTAAAGTTTAATTAAGAACACTGAGAGGACAACAACTTTTAAACCAGTTAAATCTGCACTAAAAAGACAAAAAGAAGCTGTTAAATTCTCAAAGCATTTCATTGATGAATTGAAAACCTACTCTAACTGCCCCGTCCCTAGTTTCTCAAAGCTCCTACCTATTTTAAAATATTTTTAAAAGTCATTTTGCATACATTTGGCGCAAGATTAGCCCCTTATTAGGCAAATTCGACACTTTGCAAAAACAGTCCAACTCACAAAGATCTGTGATAATAGCAGTAAGTAAAATGATTTGCACCAAGAAGAGTTGGTGGTAACAAATGTGCTTTGGGCGACTGTGGCTGAGAGGGAGTGCGGTCTTCTTTCAACCAGAAGGTTGTTGGGTCGATCCCAGTCAACATGTTGATGTATCCTTGGGCAAGCTACTTAACCCTGAGTTGCTCCCGATGGCCAACGGTGAATGTGTGTGAATGTGAGCTTCCTGGAGCAAGTGGCATTGCTCTGTATGAATGAAGTGTGAAAGGGTGAATGATGACATGTAGTATGTAAAGCGCTTTGAGGGGTCGTGAAGACTGGATAAAGTGCTATATATGTACAGTCCATTTACCATTTGTTACGGCAAGACTTTCCAGTAAACATACTCTCAGAATTGAAGCTGGGTAAGGTGGCAATCTTAATACATTTGGGATGCCAGTCGATGTGTCATAAAAAATAGATGAATGACGTGATGTAAATAAAGTAATTGAAATAGAATAACAAATTAATTAATGCAAAATGTGGTTATTATATGAACAAATAAATGAACCATTCCTTTCCTTTTCATTCTGCAAAAATGTACACATTTATTTTAATGTCATTACCATAATATATGTTGTGAATCACACCTTAAACAGGGCAGATATTGTCTGAATGTGCCCAAATTAGGATTCATTCACGAGCGGCTGCAATATGTTTTTGTTAATTTGTGCCTAAGTATATCAAATTGAGAAAGAGTCTGCAATATACTTTTAATATACACAAAATAGTGTTTTATTATTTTATTCTAAGCTTCTTACTTTAACAGACACATTTATGTTTGGCTCTATTAAATTAATTCAACCATATGGTAGTGTGCATCAAATGTACAGATGTGGAAGCAGTGTGCTGTGCTCACATTTGACCCCCCCAAACACACAGCGCCATGTACATTGGCCCTTCCTCATAGATCAAGTGTAATGATGTATGTGTGAATGGTGTGTGCATTGTAGAGTGTGGCAAAAATAATGGGATGTCAAGTTTTTGTGTGTGTGTCGCAGTCAACTGGAGAACACTAACGTATCCCAGTTTTTCCCCATGTGCTATATATAGCAGGTCCACAGCCACAATGCCATTTCCATGTTCATGTGCTGCTTCTGTGTGTGCGTGTGCGTGTGCGTGTGCGTGCGTGTGTGTGTGTGTGTGTGTGTGTGTGTGTGTGTGTGTGTGTGTGTGTGTGTGTGTGTGTGTGTGGGTGTGCTTAATGGCCAGCAGCTTAAAGAAAGATAAAGACAGAGCTGTTGGATAGAGATATAGAAACACACCGAGCAGAGTGCTACACACACACACACACACACACACACACACACACACACACACACACACACACACACACACACACACACACGCCCTTCCTCACACTCCACCTCAGGCTAGTTTCTCTCTAATGAGCAGCCATTGTTCAATCAATCAGTCTCTCTCTTGTTCTTTTGCTGTATCCCTTGTGCTCTTTCTTCTTCCTGCTCTCATTCATACTGTCCCTTTTCCTGTAAGACACACACACATTCACACACACACACACACACACACACACACACACACTTTCCTTTCTCTTGGGCTGTGATATCATTATAGCCTCTCTTGCGGGCAGCATCCATGCCATGTAAGGGGTAGACCGGTTGAAAGAGTCAAACAGCCAAAATACAGCACAGACACTGCTGACTCGTCTAATGTTGATAGAGGTTTTGAGTGTGTTTCAGATTTCACAGCAACAATAGATTTGACTGCAGAGAGAGCTCGGGGCTAAACCATCTCTATACAGTCCAGACGCTACAGCTCTCAGTCATGAAGCCAACATTTATTTTGAGATCTTTTGTTGCATTGTAGTGTTCCCTCCTGTGTCTCGCTCTTATGTTCACTCTTTTTCTGATTCTGCTTTTTCTTTTTTGACTGTGACCACTGTGGTAGTGGCTCAGACACCCACCGCTGGAGATGTTTATGAGCCAAGTAGAAAATCTGCAGCAGTGGAACAACCCATAACTCGCTTATTCATTTAAATGGAGCAAATCTGGCAAAGTGTTTGGGTGCCGATGTCATTCAGCAAGGCGCAGTGTTAGCATAAGGGCCGTTTTGGGACTACTATAACAGCAGCATTCACAGTTGCAATTTTCGCATTTGTTATCTGACATCCCCCTTTTTCTCTCAACTTGTTCACTTTCAACATTATCAAATATAGGCAAAATCCAGAATGTTTGTATACGATAACAATAGTAAGGCATCACACTTGTATCTGCACTAAAGACAGCAATCAAAGAGTTTGAAAATGAACAATTAGAGCAGTTCAATAGTTAACTTCTTTCATCAATCCACTGGTCCATCAAAAACATATATTACTTATATCATCAGATGTAATAAGAAACACATTTCAGTTCTCGGGTTTACCGCACCTTTGTGACAAAGAGAAGGCTGAATAAGAAGGCAAAGCTCTCAGTCTACCGGTCCATCTTCGTTCCTACTGCCACCTATGGTCATGAAGGATGGGTCATGACCGTGATAACAAGATCACAAATACAAGCGGCCAAAATGGGTTTCCTCCAGAGGGTGGCTGGCATCTCCCTTGGCGGTAAAGGGACATGTTCAGTCATCTTGGAGGAACTCGGAGTAGAGCTGTTGCTCCTTCACGTAGAAAGGTGTCAGTTGATGTGGTTCGGACACCTTGTAAGGATGCCAGCTGGCCCACTCCCTAGGGAGGTGTTCCAGGCACTTCCAGTTGGAGGTGGAGGTATTATATCTCTAAACTGGCCTGAGAGCGCCTTGGAATCCTCCAGTTGATGTGGCCAGGGAAGAGGAAGTTTGGAAACTGCTTCTTTAATGACTGACATATGATGTTCCACATTACTGCCACTGGTAGTGAATCGGTTTTTCTATTATATTTTTTAGTATTCTTATTTGCTTGTTAAAGTATTTTCATTTTTTTTAATGACACATTTATTCCTGATCATAACTACCAAATATTGATTCATTTTTTGATCGTTAGGCATATAAATGACAGTTTGTTGTATGACAACACAAAAGACACAAAATCTAATCTATCTTTTTGTATTCTAAATGCTAATTAATGTTTTCTCACAGATAAGCTCTATTTTTATTCAAAGATTAGCAAAAGCATTGATTTTGCTGCATTGTATATTCACATAAGACAGCAGCAATGCCCCTGTGGACACCAGGAAAATAGGATGTGTTTTGCCCTATGACATTTTTCTCTGGAGACAAAATTGGAAGCCAGGGTTCTAGATTGAAAGCCTGATAACATATAATGCCTGTTGATATGCTATAATGGCAATGGGCTCAAACATTGTGATTTTAATGGGTTTCAATGGGGAGATTTTTATCCCTGAAGGGCTGAGTGACTGTATGTTGGCTACACAGTTTATTTTAGACCTACTGTATTATTGTTAGTGTGGATGAACTTCCAACATTTGAGTACAAAGCCTTGACAAAATGTGTGCCATTAGATTAAGAGCCAAAATGGTTCCTAGTGAGGCACAAGGGGGAAACTCTAACTCAAAAAAGCTCTTTGTCTTTTCAGCAACGCCTTTAATATTTCACACAAGCCAATTCTTGTTTCAAAGGCGTCCTCTTCAGAGGCTGGAGCTTATCTGCCTCTCAGCAAAGGTTTAAGTGGACAGTCTGAGTGCTAATCCACAAGTACAGATAAGAGCTTAAGTCACTAGGCTGAAAGTAAGAGCTGCAAATGTTTCAATTTAAAATTACCCTTTAAAATAGCACAAATAAAGCTAATATCTTTACCTTTTCCCCCTGCCCTATTTTCCACCCTGCCTCTTTATTCTTATGCGGCTTTCATTATTCAGATCCTCACCCTGCCCCCATCTGCTGCATTCTTCTCTTTTCTCTCTCCTCCATTCTATCATGATCAAAAAGATTAATAGAAGTCAAGAAAAATGTAAAGATCAACAACAGTGAAGCAAGAGATTTTGATGGCAGTGTTTTACCTTCTAGACAATATCTGTGTATCTTCAAATTGAGGCAGATGTGAGGAGGCAGGGTGGGCGCAGCTAAAAGACAGAGCGTGATATTAGCTTGAGCAGAAGCTGTAGCCCGAGCCCTGGCCTTTCAGAGCCCACTGGGAATTGATTAACTCCCCATTCACCTCAATGAATATAGACACGGCGAGAAAGACTGAGTGGAGATGGAAGGCAGACTGTACCTACAGTAATGAACAGCAATGGAGGGGACGGAGGGGGGGTTCTTCTTTAAAGCATTTGGCTGGCACCCAAGGGTGGCTTGCAGCAAAAATAAAATGGGTTTCGAGATTATTCAACTGAAATGTATACTCCAGGAGTATTGGCACGGCTTTGGTGCAGAACCTGGGAAACCTTGCCAAATCCTTACAGGTTGATAGAAATAAAAAAATAAAAGATTGCTCATGGGATAATTATTTTAACAGAAGCCAATGCAATAATCTGCTTTGTCTTTCAGGATAATATTAAGAATCAACATTATCTGAATGTATCCTGTAAGGAAAAATGTAATATCTAAAACTGTAATCCATTGTACTAGAAACGGTGCTCCTCATCTTTCCCTTCATGCTCCCAGAGGGACATCCAGCGCACTAATAATTTATGTAAATGTGATATTTCCATTCACTTCATGCAGTATTTATTATTTTGACTGTCAAGGTATCAATTAGCGGATGCAGTCCCTACTGCTGCCCGTCTTCAGAGGATCAAGGGATTTAGCAAGCATGCTGATCAAAAAGTAATTAGTGGTGATTAATAAACTCCAATCACTTCTGATCTCGCAGTAGATCAGTTCGAGTATAAACTGTAATTATCATGCTAATACATGGAGGAAGGAGAAGAGTTATCTCAAAGGAATGGGCAGGTTTAGATGGTAAACTTACTGCAATTTAAGAGATAGATGAACAGATACACATTTTATTTACTCTAACATTGCAAATTGGAAACCAGTGATCTTGACTTGGATGTGAGACCAAAATGACCAAAGGGCACCTTCCTACTTCAAACCCTACCTTCTTCCATTGGCCCCTTGTTCGAACCGCAAACATCTTCAAACTCAGCCCTCATTTCGGCTCTGCTACACACCTGTAAAGTTCGAAAAGTTATTTCGACCAGGTTTCCAAAAACGTAACCCTTAGATGCATGAGTGACTGGACCCTGCACTCTTCCATAAGTGGGTCAAAAAGGACCCGTATTCGAATAATATGTGTTTTTATGCCATTTGTGTCATTTTGGTTAAGAAAAATCACTTACATAATATTTAATATTATATTTGGGTTCACACTAGAAATATTATATATTTAATTTTTCACTATTTCAAATTTTAGATTTTTTTTTTACATTTTGAAAAAAAA